TAACATCCTGGGACTGCAACTGGAGAGGGGTTAAATTCCCAGGATTCCAGAGATGCAACAACTGAGTCCTGGAGAGACTGGTCAGCTTATGTCAGACTGACCAAACTGGTTATTGCTCACGGGAAACATGTGAAGGTAGGTTTTCCCCTCACATTAAATCTGACCAGACTTCAGTTCAGAAAATTCATCCCAGTCCTCACCATTCCAGACTTTGCCCCATGAGCAAAGAACAGAAAAGATTAGTCTCCTGTGATGGCAGGTAGATGCTTGGACAAGGTTTTTTCTGCCCATCCCTGACAGCCATTCACAGAGAAAGGTGAAAACCTGCCAGTATGAGCTCAGGAAAAATTCATTCTTAGCTCCAGACACAGTGCCCTGAAGAGGTGAGCCAGAGGTTTCTTCATAACGTTAGTTCACCTTACCTGATGCCCCATGTCAAGTTTTGATCCATCTCTACTTACAAGAAGACTAAAAAAACCTTTCAACCCCCGCATAATCCATCCAGATGATTCAGTATCAAGGATAGGAGGATCTTTCTTTGACCTGTGGAGGTGGCCAGGCAAAGCCCTGAAGCATGAGATTTAATCCATGCTATTGCCATATTGCCAAACCAAAAGGGTTGTGGGTGAGCCAGGGGTGGCACCGCTTGCTGTCCCCTGCAGGCCCTGCAAGGGAAGCATGTGAGCAGAGGCTCACACTTTCAAAGACCTTGCGGATCCAAGGCCAGAGAGCACACCCTCACCATTTAGCCATCTCATTTTAAAGACATTAAGTAATCGTGAGCCTGCCAGCTTCCCTAATAAGCTGTTCCAATATTTAATTACCCACCGCGATCAGAAACAGCATCTTATTTCGAGGCTTTTTTTATTTTTAGCTGCCAGGCAACAGCTCTTTTCAAGCAAGTTGAAATGCTTTCTGTGATTAGATTTCTCCTGCAGCCGTAGATGCCTGTGCACAGCTCTCTCTTTGACATGCTGGACACATGAGCTCCTGAATCTGGATTTTATGGGACCTAGAGGAGGAGGGTGATCCGAGCTGTACTTCTTTCCTTTCTGCCACACCCCAAAACACATATCCTATTCTCTGCCTAGTCACCATGTTCCAGCACCTCCAATGTGGGTAATGCGATTCAGCTTCTCTGACTGCAAACCTTCCTGTGATTGTGCGAAAGGTGAGGAGCTGTCACCAATAGACACGTGACAGTATATATGTATGCACAGGTATGTTCTAGCAGCTCTCATCCACGTAAATTTTGTCTTCCTGCCAAGACGCTGGAGGAGGATGTTTGATAACGTGACTGATCGTGTGACAACATGAGATAGTAGACAAGCCCCATTGCTGAACTTCTATACCAATCATTTCCATGTGAGATGAAAGCTACTTTTTCTCCTGCTCTAGCAGAAAATAAAAGATGGATTAGATTGCTTGAGTACTGTACTTCTTGGACAAACGCTCACTAATATTTAACATTCAAAGCAACGGTTCCAATCAGTAACTGATGCGCTCCAGAAGGTAACTCAACCTTAAATTTCATTCCCACGGGAAAAATAAGAGTTAACTGCTGTCCTTTGCACAGACGAAAAAATAGCACCTAGTTGGACCCAGATGCCCAACTATAACGGAGACAATGATAGCAATTCAACAGCCCTAGTTTACCTCATCTAATGCCCATCCAAATATTCCCAATAATTAGGCCTTTCAGCCTGGAAAGGCTGCAGCCACAGCTGCTTCCTATTTTCCCAAGGCTGTACAGAGCATTAGTCATCACATGCAGATTTTTTTTATTACCATGACTGCAGCCGAGTAAGCATACCGCCAAAATCCAGACAAGCCAAATCAGACTTAATTCAGAATGTACTTCGGGAGTTTGAAATGATCTCCTAACCCCCTTCTGAGTCCTTATTTTCCCTCCACATCCAAACAGCCTGAGTCTGCCTGAACCAATGTCCTACTAAGGCTGCTTTCTCAGCACCTACCAGGCTGACTAAAATGAAAAAGTGATTGCTGGCATTTCCACTTCAGTTGTTATTTATTAACTAAGCTTGGGAGTGACCTTGA